TAGCAGCTGGCAAGGTGACGTGAGATGGGGAGGTGCCGGGGGTGGATCCCTGGGAAACGGTGCCGGGAGGAAGGGGTGGGTTTCCAGCAGAGGCATATGGGAAGTGACGGTGGGTTTTCTGCTCAAGTCGGGCAGTCCGGACTTTGCAGAGTCCTAGGAGGCTGGAGGTATCTTATCAGCTTCAGGCTGGGGGCGGGGAGTGGGGCAGGTTCACTCCAGCTACTCCATTAGTAGGGGGACTTGTCCCTCTCCCCGTCAGACTGTGGTGGATGGCTGCTGGCACCCAGCCAGGTGTGGGGACAGGGCCATCTCTAGACCTCAAGAGCCAGGTGTTGTTTGCTGCTGATGCCATGGTAACCTGCCCCAGGTGCCCTGGGCTGTCTTCCCAGCTCCTAAGTGGCAACTGCCTGGCCTTGGCAGTGAGGCCTGGACTTGCCTGCTTTGAGGCACGCTCCTATCTGTCCGTCTGCAGCCATCTACTGCTGGGTTTGTCAGATTTGTTGGCATCTTACGTCAAGGATATTTGAGGTAGTATATCCAGAAGAGGTCTGATGTGCATGACTCTGGGGACAGAGGGATGGAATATTTGAAATTGGGCCATCTTAGAAAATCCAGGACATCTCTCTTCCTGGGGCTGGTGAGGGGCCTGAGGCTGGCTGGCGGATGGAGAGACTTAGTGAAACTCCTTCCAAGAGTCATATTATGGCTTTTACGGAAGATCCTGACTTCCTGTTACCTTATTTTGGGTGAAACGAGGACCCTGGCCAGTGCTTGGCTGCCCAGTGTGTCCTTTTGGAAACATTGCCCAGAAAACTGGCTTCGTGGGAAGCTGTAGAGCTAATTTTCTGGAGCTTCTCCCTCTTGGCCCTGTACCTGGGTCTAAAATCACGTGGTCTAGGTTTCCTGGGCCCCAGCTGATGCCAGCCTGCTGGTCTTAACCTGAGCCATGGGGTTGGGTGGTGACACATTTCTTCTTGCCCTTCTGATGTTTTCTGCTCATAAAAAAAACAAACACCACCTCCCACTTCTACACACATGCGCGTGTGCACGCACACACACACGCAAACATAGACATACCCTGAAAAACCAGACCATACAGAGCTGGAGAAACTTTTTTCCTGATTATTTTTCCTTTTCTAGACAGGGACATCGATATATTTGAATCATGGGCCGACAGTAATTAAAAAGCACATAACTAGTCATTTTAAAATGCAGCTGTTTTACTTAATTGATTTTGTCGCCAGACCCAGAGGAAAAAAAGAGGAACAGGGGAAAGACAGGCTTAGAAGGGGAGACAGGTTTCTGCGAGCGACTGGAGGCAGCAAAGGGCCCTGCTTGAATCTAATTGCTGTCCGTGCTGCAGTTGGTTTCCGCTAACGGCTTTCTGCTCAGAGGGCTGGGGGCTGGGGCCCCGAGGGGAGGGGCGGCGTTGGTGTCAGCTGCACAGGGGGTATAATTCTGCTTTCAGGACAGGGTCTATTTTTCCTTACTATCTATCAGCGTAAAGTACTTCCACTGAGCACTTTGAATCAAGGTTCCATTTAGAGATACTTTATTCATATTTAATTACAGGCTGTAGCACCAATCTTTAATTACCTTTTTTATAAGCCAGCTAGGAACATTCACTAGCAATCAATTATTGTGTGTGTGTGTGTGTGTGTGTGTGTGTGTGTGTGTGTAAGCACAGGAGGGTGTGGGGGTGTGACTTGCTTCCTGATAGAGGGGAAAGGATGGCTGCAGGGGCCCTGGGGAGGTGGTGGGTGGGCAGGGGTGGGGTGGGGAATCTGCCCAAGAGGTTCCCTGTGCCAATTGGGTGGTACATTTCCCATGCCTCTCTTTGCTGCCACTGGTCAAGCTGGGATTAGGGCAGGTCCTCACAGCTGGGGCCTCTTTCAGGGTGCTGTGTTGGCACCTGGGCTGAGGTGGTATTCTGAGCTCCAGACCCCCTGCCTGCCCTAGTGGAGACAGCGAATGGTGGGAGGCCCCCTTCTCAGTCCCTGGGGATATGGCAGACCAGGCTTCCTCTTACCCAGGAGACGAGGAAATGCTTGCCTCAGCCCTTTCCTTCCTTCACCTCTCCCTGGAGTGCTCCTGGCAGCTGTTCTTGCCACACAGCCCTAGTGATGCCGTGTCACTCTTCAGTTGCAATGACTCTGCAATGTCCCTGCAATGACACTGGTTTGAAGCCTGGCTGTCCTTCTTAGGAAATGAGCCAGTGTTCCCAGGGAGCCACGTGGAGGCTTGGGGTGAGGAGTAGAGTCAAGTGACCCCCCAAGTCCTTTTGCAGTGGGCAGAGGGGGCCATTCCAGCTGCCTGGGAAGGTCTGAGTTTGCAGATATGCTCCAGAAAGCATTCTCCTTGGTGCTCCTTCAGGAACAACCAGAGGGTTTCTAAAGGCAGTTCTTGCTCATTTCATTACATAATGGCTCGGAATGTTGCTGAAGTCTACCTCCCTTCTATTCCTGGATGCCTGTCCCAGCAGGAGGGCACTGAGGGGAGGGGCAAGGGGAGGGAAAGGAACTCACACTCACTGAGCCTCTTGGGGGTATGCGGCACCATGCCTGTGTTTCTTTCGTCTAATCCAGATGGGGCCTGAGAACTCTCAGTCAGAGCCCCTTCATTCCTGTGTGACAGAAAGCAACTCAAACTGATTTAAGCAAAAAAGGGAATTATAGGGTGAGTCTTCAGGCATGGCTAGATCAAGGGGCCCAACCTTGTTGACCAAGATTCACTCTGTTTCTTGGCTCTGCTTTCCTCTTTGTTGCTACTCTGGGATTCCTGGTAGCTCCAGACTTCGACTTTTTACCTTCAAGTTCAGCAGAGAGAAATAATCTTTTCTCCCACAGTTCAAACAAAAGTGAAACAGTTGAGTCTGATTAAATCAGTTGGGTGACATGTCCATCTCTGAACCCATCAGCATGACCTAGGGTATTCAAGTTTCTGATTGGCCACGCTGGGGTCTCACACCCACGCTGGTGTAATGGGTAGAGTCCACTTGGGTAAATCCCACACAGGACATGCGCTTTTACATTGGGGGCCTTTAGACTAGGAGGGGTGTGGGAGCCGGAAGGTCCATCCTTGAAAAGGAAGAAAGTTGATTCAGTTCCTCTCCAAGGGATTCAGTCTTTCAACAAATATGTATTTGCCACAAGCTAGTTCCAGTGCTATTCTTTTTCTTTCTTTCTTTCTTTCTTTTTTTTTTTTTTAAGATTTTATTTATTAGTGTGTATGAGAGAGAGAATAAGCAGGGAGAGCACCAGAGGTAGAAGCAGACTCCCCACTGAACAAGAAGCCCGACGTGGGGCTGGATCCCAGGACCTTGGGATCATGACCGAAGCCGAAGGCAGACACTTAACTGACTGAGCCACCCGGGGGCCCCTCTGGTGCTATTCTAAGCATAGGGAATTCAGCAGCTAATAAGACAGACAAAAATCTCTGCCCACTTGAAGGTGATGTTCTAATGGGGTCTACAGGGATGATAGTTCTTTTATTCTCCCAAGCCAAGCCCAAGTCCAGGATAAAGGGAGAGACCTAGGATGATTGATGTGGGGACAATCTGGTCCTCAGGGAACCTCAAACTCAGGAGGGAAGGAAAAAGACAAGTGTGTGGTTGGGGAAGGATGGGAAGAAGTAGGCATGGGGAGGGGCACAAATAACACAGTGAAGAAGAAGGAGGCCAGGGAAGCCAATCCGTACCCATCTCCCGTGACAGAGAAGTATGGGCCCCTCCCATGTTGCCTGGACCTTTGGCTTCCGAAGGATGTTGATAAATGGGATGGAGTTTAGTGAAAGCTACGAAAATGATGACAGGGCTGGAGGGAGTGATTTATGAGGGAGATTAGCAAGGTGTCGGCACAGCCTAGTAAGCAGAGGGATGGGATGGTGGCCGAGGGTCATCTGACTGCTGAAGTCCAAGGAGAGGAGGGGGCCGAAGGGCAGGAGAGAGTGCCTGATGCAGAAGGGGCCTGGGGGAAGCAGGGGCACGGATGGATGGGCCTCAGGGTGAGAGCCTGGGGGACGTGAGAAGGAGGACCATGGGACTAATCCTGTGTGTACACATTCATATGTGTGTGTGTGTGTGTGAGAGAGAGAGAGATTGAGAGAGGAGAGAGAATATGTCTGGACCTTCTAGGATTGGAAAGCTATACAGGGATTTCAAAAAGTGGAGGGGGTCAGAATTTCAGCCTTGGACATTTTTACAAAAGGCTTTTGGAGGTCTCTTTCCCATTTGGTAAAATATTACCACCTGGACCATGTAGGTGTGATCCCTCAAGTCAAAAAGACTTTTTTCCCTTCAGGAAAATTTGGTTTGGCATTTCTAAAAGGGAAGGAGGGAAGGAAGAAGGGAAGAGAAGACAGAAGAGTAAGGAGCACATATTCTGTTTTGTAGAGGAAGGGCGAGGGGTCTGCCCAAGGCCACCTTTGGGTGACATTGCAGGTGGGGACCAAAATCGAGGCTGGGGTGTGTAGCCCTGGGGTCTCTGCCAGTTGGCCAGGCTGAGGGTGGGTTGGGGACCCATGCTGAGCTGCTGTTCAGGCAGGAACAAGAGGTGGCTACTGCATTTGGAACCTCCAAACTGGGGTCCCTTGAGCTCTTCCATGTTCGTGGATTGGAGTATCTGATCCCTGTATTGGGCTGTCTGGGGCTGGGGTTCTGTTAACTCTTGATTTCGTGTACCTGTGTAACAGCCCTGGGGTGCAGTGGTGCGTAACTAAATGAGCAGATGGTCCTCAGTTCTGAACGTTCTGGACAACACTTCTTTGGCCTTGAATGGAGGTGCTCAGGGCACCCATGCATGCATATGTGGACACCCCTCCACGTGTGTTTTCTCTCTCGCTCCCTCCATACGCCTGCTGTGAATCTCCATGGCAGCAAAGAGCCCGCACAAGGCATTGGGTTGGCGTACAACTGATAGAGCAGAAAATCTATTGGCCTGGCCCGTCCCCTCTCACTGAACTGAGTCATCTTAATTGCTCTGTCCTCTCTCCACTCTTGACAGATCCATGATTTGTTTGTGAGTTTTGACGACACCCCCCTGGGGGCCGCCTCCCTGGCCCAGGTCCACAAGGCGGTGCTGCGTGATGGGCGGACCGTGGCCGTGAAGGTCCAGCATCCAAAGGTGCAGTCTCAGAGCTCGAAGGACATTCTTCTGATGGAGGTGAGAGCCTGCCCCTTCCTTTGTCCTTGCTTTATATTTCTCTGGAGACTAGGTGCCTCCAGGGACACTGGTTCAAGGCAACTGGGTGGAGTGTGACCCATTGAACAGCAGAGTGGCTGAGGAAAGCTTGAGACCATGAAAAAGGAGGTGTCCTGACAATGCTGTGACTGGGGGACCCGTGGCTGGGCGCTTCAGTTCGTCTTGATTTGTTCCTAGGAACTATCTGGGGATGGTCTCAGAGCATGACGTGTAGCTGCTGCGGCCAACGAGACCTCAGGTGGATGTTGAAGAAATGAGATGAACCAAAAGTGATTTCCTTGGGGGTAGAAACGTTACATCTTAATTTGTTAAATTGTAACAAAAGGGAGCACTTGGAGAACCAAGGGATGTAAAAATGACAGGAAGATCCCATAGAAACATTTACGCAGATTCCATGTTTGCTTATCTCCTGTTCTGAGTGAACAAGCTTGTCCACCTAAAAATGTTCCTGGGAGAAGCCCAGGTGGAGACTATATCTCTGGACTTTTCTTGTTCTGTCCCCAGAGCAAGGGAGGGTGAGGCAGGTGCTGGTTGGGTAGTGGCCACAGCCTGGCCCCGGGAGGGCAGGCGTTTCACCTTCCAGTGTGTCCCTCCCCTTCTCTGCAGGCTGCCTTCCCCTGTTCTCTTTCCTCACTCTGGGCTCATAGTCTGTTTCCTCAGTTCTCCCTGACTAAGCTCCAAACATGCATGGAAGGTCACTTTTGCACCAGGTGCTAGGTGGGTCGTGGGGGGAGTGAGGGAGCTCCATTTTCATCCCCAGGAGAATTCCCTGTTTCGTGGAAGGGCAGGTCTGGACACCAACAGCCACGGTGTGGGGATGTGAGCTCCACCAAAGGGGTGTGTGCATGGTGCCCTCAGCACATGGTGCGTTGACAGGTGTATTGGGGGCAGGGCTTCACGGAGGGGCCCGTGAGACGGCGGGGCAGGGGAGGGATAGCCAGCCTGTGCGGAGGTCCAGTCTTAGAGGAACAGGGTGGGCTTGGAGAAGAATTGAGCTGGTTCAGTTGGTATGGCTGGGAGTGGCTGCAGAGGGGGCTGGGAAGGTAGGCAGGGACCACACAGAGGACCTGATCTTCCAGGCCAAGGCACAGAACAGCATACACAGCAAATCTGGGTCTTCTGTGGACCCAAGCAGATGTGATTCTCTCCTGTAGCCAGCAAGGAACCATTTGAGAATTTTAAATCAGGGGAATGTCGTGATCAGATGTACATTAGAGACAAGTGTCTGTTGGCAGTCTGGAGGATGTATAGGAAGGCGGAAAGACTGTATTCAGGGCAATTAATGGAGGACCTTTTGCACTGGTCTGAGCCAACAATAATGACGTGACCCAGGGCAGTGTAGTGGGAGTGAAGGGGAGGCATGAGCCGAGGGGCGGAGTCATCAGGACGTGGTGAGCAGCTTTCCGTGCGGTGGAGGCAAATAATGGTAGGAATGAATGGAAGGAGAGTAAAACAAATTGTAGGTTTCTGGCTTACATGATTAGGTTTGGGTGCCTTTCACCAGTGTATCAGTTGGGGTCCAGTTGGGAAGGAACAAAATCACGCTACGTATTTCCAGCAGACGGAATTTAAAAGAGAAAATGGGGCTCTCATGGGATGGAATTGCGGAGAGGCAGATGGGAGGGTGAGGCATTTACCAACGGCTGGAAGCCACTGCCACCCTCAAGGTGGAGGGACAAGGAGAAGAGGTGGTTCCCTGGGGTCGGCAGCTGGGGTCACCTGGTAGAGCCGGCCCCTGGCTGGGGTGGGGGTCCTTTGGCAGGTGGATCACAGCCTCAGAGCCCCTCACCTGGGAGGCGGGGCTGCAGATGCTGTTTGAGGCAGCGGGTTTCCACCTCCTTTTCTCCGCCAGTCTCCCACCAGTGCTGCCCTTGAGCCAAGGCTAGATGGGAAATGCAGTTCCTTATGAGAGTGGTGGGGTCAGGGTGCTCTCAGAGCCGGGTGGAGTGGGCCATGGAGGCCCCAGGAGAGTTTGGGTACTGCCGTCAGGAGACTGGATCGGGCTTTGCTCTGGCGGTCTCCATTCTGGCTGGAACCACACGTGCGGGATTTAGCAGCAAGGGGACTCACGGTGGGTAGGTGAGTCTGGGGGAGTAGTTGAGGTGATTTGGAAGGGCGGGCAAAGAGAAAAGGAGAGGACAAGGGGAGAGCTGTGAGGAATACTGTCATCGGGGGAGTACGCCCAGGAAGTTAAACTCCTGGGGGAATGGAAATATGGAGAAGTTACGGCCAGACAGATTGGAGGAGAACCAGTGTTGCTACATTCCATGGAAACAACTTCGAGAAGAGAGCTAGAAAACATAGCAGCTTAAAACAACGGGTGTGTGTGTGTGTGTATTTTTTTTTTTTTTTAAGATTTTATTCTAGAGAGAGAGAGCCAGAGAGGGAGCAGGAGCAGGAGGAGGGGCAGAGGGCGAGGGAGAAGCAAGCTCCCCGCTGAGCAGGGAGCCCAACAGAGGGCTCGATCCCAGAACCCCAGGATCATGACCTGAGCTGAAGGCAGACACTTAACCAACTGAACTACCCAGGTGCCCCCAGCAGTTGTGTGTTTTGCTCCTGAATCCGCAGTTCGGGTAGGGCTTGGTACAGAGACTCGTGAATTTCATGTGGTGCCGCCTGGTTGGTCTGATGGAACCGGAGGGTCTACTTCCAGGTGGCTTATTCACGTCGCTGGCAGCTCAGCTGAGGCTGGGGGCAGGGCCTTGGGTCCTTCCAGAGAGGCCTCTCCGCAGCTGTTGGTGCTTCCTTGCAGCATGGCAGCTGGGTTGCAAGAGTGAGTGTCCCACAAGCATAAGGCAGAAAGCACATGAGCATGGTATGACCCTGCCTTGGCAGGCACATAGCACTACTTTTTCCTTACTCTGTTGGCAAGAACAAGAGTCACAGAGGCTCCTTTAGTTTAAAGGGGTGGGGGGCAGGAGATACTCTACTTCTTGATGGGGGTGTGACCAGGTTCTAGAAGAGCATCAGAATGGGAGGTATTGTTGCAGCCATTTGGGAAAATACAGTCTGCCAGAATTACTCTGTGTTGTCAAATGGGAGATAAAATTAGCAAAGCTCTGGAAAAGGCCTCTTGGATTTGGTGACTGAGAGTCCTTGGGGCGAGCAAGGAGACTGGGTTGAGGGGGTGGGAGTAAACTGAGGCCCCAGGGAGTGGAGATGGTTGACATAGAATACTCAGGTGTCACTCAGGTGATGTCAGGAGGGTCCTGTGTGCTGTTGAGAGCAAAGCTCAGGATCAGAGGTGGGGACAGGAGCAGGCTGTCCCTGAGGGGGAGGGTGGCCATGGATTGGTTGGGGGGTGGTGCTGGAGATCGAGGAGAGGGAAGTAACTGGCAGGTTTGGTCCTGAGGGTGACTCAAGGGATTGGGCTGCAAGGACCCGGGTGGAAGCACTAGCCTCGGTCAGTCTTTGTTCGGAGCCTGGAACAAGGTGGTGAGGCTGCGCGCAGATGAGTGTAGCGGGCAGGGAGGATGGCGGAGGGAAAGTGGGCAGCTGAGTTGTAACCAGCCTGATCGCCCTATTTTTTTCGCTGCAGTAGGAGGCAAGACCATCTGCTGAGAATGAGGGGGTAGGAGGTGGCATTGGAGGCCGGGGGTGGGGGTGAAGGTTTGGAATAGCTGCTCCGTGTGATGGGAAAGGGAGCGAGCGGGGTTCCTGAGTGGCACCAGGCTTCCTTCTGGAAACGCGAGTTTTCTGGAGCACCTGTCAGTAGCTACGCACCAGCCACAGTTGGGAGTGAACTGGGAGTCTCGGAGCATCCCTGGGTGTCTTCAGACCCAGCCCCCACTCTTGTGTCAGGCAGGAACCTGCCTCTCCCCAGCGGTGCCACCGGGACCCACCTGGGCTGGAAGGACAGCTGACACCGTTTCTCTACACAGAGACGCGCTGACTCCCTAAGTACTGGCTGTCGGCAGGTCAATGGCAATGATAACTCTCCTAAAGATTTGGCATCTTCCTCTAGGAGATAAGCATCAGACACTTTCCTTGGGAAGTACGGCCTGGCAGCCGCGTGTGGAGGACAGAGGGCTCGTGCACGGTGGCTGAGGCCGAGGTCACCACCTCCACGCACCGTCAGCATTAACAGCAGCACCACGGGCTTGGTCTCTGGTGGAAAACATCCTCCTTGGCTCAGCCTTCTCTGTAAAATGAAGAGGAGCCTAACTGGGAAGCTCATCTCATTTTATATTTGAAATGAGTCTTATAATTTTGTTCCTGAGTGCTAACCCAGAATAGTGCCCCAGAAAGGTTCTCATGTGTGTTAGTAGGAGAAGAGTGATTTCAGGGGGGGCATAAGGCCACCTTAGCCACCGGCAGCTTGAGGACAGGGTGAGGGAAAGTGTAGTTTTCTGGTGCTTCTCTTTATGACCGCTGCAGGTGCTTTCTGTCCTCGTGCCTCTCTCCCACTGCCCACTGTTGTCCCTCTCTCTTCTCCAACTGTGCGATGCCTCCCAGCATCGTCTTGAGAGGAAGATGATCTGACTAGAGTGATTCCTACTAAGGAGAGAGTGACTAATAGGGGGTAACCTTTGACTATTTGCAGTTGAAGAGGTGAGCTGCTTAAATCCACATACATACCTGCTGTAAAGTCAGGTGTGGGAGTGAGGGTTTTGAGAGTGAGAAAGTGGGGGACTGCTACGGGTTGTATCCATTAAGATGCTATAGGCTGCAAGTACCGGAAAAATCCAACTAAAAGTGGCGTAGATAATAGTAACTTCTATTATGTCACATTTCCAGACACCTAGAAGTAGTGTTGGCTGTTCCAAGGTTGACTGATCCAGCACTTCAGTATGGTTTTTAAGGACCCAGTTTCTTTTTGTCTTCTACTCTGGTTTGTTCTGCTCAAGTAGTGCTCCTCACAGTCCCAAAGCAGCTGCAGCAGTTCCTGCTGTTACAAGTAGACAACATCCAGTGCCAAAGAGGGCCTGTTTCTTCCACTATATTCCTTATCAAAAAGGAGC